CCGTGCGTGTGTGTTTGCTTGCTTGTGCGTGTGTGTTTGTTCGTGTTTGTGTGTGTGTGTGTGTGTTCGTGTTTGTGTGTGCGTTTGTTTGTTTGTGTTTGTGTGTGCGCGTACGCGTATATATAATTAATTTTCTTAAAAGCGCATCTTCGATTATCATATAATGAAAGTTAATTGAGAAAACAGCTCCCATGTTACGAAATTTCCCGTTAACATAAACCTTTCAAGGATGCTTTCAAGGAAGTTCCCTTGTTTACACAATATATTTTGTTTATTACTATGCGTTTCCACACACTCGCTGCTCTAACTCTCACCCAATCCATAACACGGTTCTACATCAGCCACGCCAAACTACTTCAGTAGTCTAATGTAATGTAGCGCACATCGTATGTTGTAGCGTCACTAACGACAGACACGGCTAGCGATTTCGGCGTGAGGAGAGCATTGCGTACGACGTCATCCGTATGTAAATGATCACGTGTACTGGTCCACGAACGAAGCGGCAGAGAGTCTTGGGAAATCTTCTTTGAGAATCCGTGGAAGCTTTGTACGACGTGGGTTTCAGGATTTGAGCACGCAAACCTACAAGCAACGCCATTTTGTATATCGCGTGTACAGACGATTCTCGGCTTAATTACACGGGAAAACGTTTGCCTGCTGTTAGATAATTCACTGTGCCTTACGAGACTCCACACGTAACGCTACCTGTTGAGTATTCCGATCCTGTTTTTACCTGATCTCCGGCATGGTGGCAAAAATTACGATTCAAATCTTTAGTAAACGCTGCAGATACGGTTGTCACTAACTCAGATTGTTTTCTCAGATAGCAGGGGCTATATATGATAGCTGGGGAGAGATGGATATACATCTGGGCAATATACCTTGTGTTCCTTCGGTGGAGAGACATGAAAATTACCCTCTAAGTAGAAGATATAGGAGAACGCGCATGCGCACACAACCGCCACTGAGCAGCAAATGTCACATGGAATGTTTGTCTGTTTACTTATGTCTGGTACGTATGATGAATACAGTACTTTATACTTAATAAATACTTAATTTCATCTTTCAATAAGCAACATGCTTATATATTTGTCTTGGAGTAAAGCCCTTAGGTTTCATTTTTTAAGTAAAAAAATTATATAAAATAAATAAATTATAATGAATAGATTAATAATTCAAGATATTAATGAAATAAAACTAATGAAATACTACTAACTCTATTTCCCACGTTCGGCTGTGCGATTTCAGTGTTTGGTGTTGGAGGAATGATCTACAGTACATTGCACGTTGTTGTCTAGCTAAGTGCTGGCTTCGACACTAAATGTCGCCACGTGATCGGCGTCGTCTCGGCTGTCATGCACATCATTTTCACGTTCACTCAGCTCTACTTTATCTTCAGTAGCTCAAAAGTGCGTTTCTCCCATAGAAATCATATAGGTAGACTTTTGTCTCTATATTAATGTATTTCTATGGTTTCTCCCTGTTACCATTTCGCAGTCGGCTGTTTACGGCGTATGCGCTTGACTACGTCACAGGCGCCTGTCTACGTCACGAACGCCAATATATATATATAACAGGCGCATGTATAGATACCATATAACACGATGATATGTTATATTATGTTATCTATAGGCGCACAGACGTCGTACGGGCTCCTGTGTGACCGACACAACGTACTACGTATTAAACGAACCATCGCTCGGAACAAGCACGATGCAGTTATATGAGTTATCCTTAGTTTAGATTCAGCATCGTATCGTATTTCACACGAACAATCTTGTGTCCAACACATCGCACTCCTCTCACGCGTTCCGTACACGTAGTAAATATACATTATATATAATATCTTGCAATTTAGATTTAGATGTCGTATGCACCGTAACGCTATATAGTAATATACGCTATATAGTAATGTATATTATTTAATTATATAAATGTGTAATATATAATATGTAATATGTATTATGTAATATGTAATATGTAATATGTAAAATGTAAAATGTAATGATTTTATTATGTAATTAGTAGTATATGTAATACAACGCTATATAGTAATGCTAAACACGAGCCTGACCAGTAAACGTCTACAGGCGAGAGGTAACGCCGCCATGTGATTGGTTGATTTCTCTCGCAGATGTGCATGCGAAAGTATAAGACGGTGGCGCGATTCGGACTGATGCACGGGTTAGCGGCAAACATGTGCGTCTGGATAAAATACCTCGTCAAAGAAACGGTCGACGAGCTTGCGGAGATGCATAATGAAAACGCTGTGCGTGCCGAAGAAGAGTCGCCTGATGTCGGTAGGTAACATCGCGCGTAAATGCTGGGTTCGCGACTATATAGATGACACTGTGCGGTATAGTTGCGGCAAAAAGTGGGCGGGTATAGTAATAGTAATAGTAATGGTAATAGTAATGGTAATAGTAATAGTAATAGTAATAGTAATAGTAATAGTAATAGTAATAGTAATAGTAATAGTAATAGTAATAGTAATAGTAATAGTAATACTAGTCAGAAATAGCTAAACGAGCGAGGTCAAACAGAGGTCAAGGGGACATAGACCTTATCTGCAATAGTAATAGTAATGGTAATATGAATAGTAATAGTAATAGTAATGGTAATAGTAATAGTAATAGTAATAGTAATAGTAATAGTAATAGTAATAGTAATAGTAATAGTAATAGTAATACTAATGCTC